GGAGGACGCTGTCACTCAGGAGCCTCTGTCAGTAACGGCAGAGCGCAGAGGTTAGGGCCCTCTTGGGTAAGATGATCGCAAAACAAATTTACCAGAGTGCCGCGGGCGGGTGGAACTAAAAAAGGCAAGAAAACACAAGCGGTCGCTGGCTTAATGGTACTTGCCAGGAGGGAAATAGGGTCGGGGTTGAGGGCCCTTGGGACTCAAGTGCTGAAAATAGGACATCAGAGCACCAAAGTAAAAAAAAGAGACAAAACTTTTAAAACGCTGTTAGGGGCAATAGAAGAAAGAGATCCAGGAAAAAAAAAAAAAGGCACTATTCAAAGAAGGTAGGCAGCCAGTGCCACAAAGATGACTGCTGTCCCACAATCAGGAGATATTCTCCTTCTCTTTTTCCCAGGGAGACCTTGCAAGAGAGCAATGAGGAAATGGGTGAGTAAGCACCCTAGAGAAAAATAATATATATTTTTTTTGAGTAAGGAAATTGAACAGGGAAATAAGGGGAAAGCTTAAAAATTGCTTTTAAAAAGAAGTAGCTATCAGTGTACCCTTTTTATTTAAAATCAAACTAGATTGGCTTTTGCTCCTCACAGAAAGAATGAAAATGAATGAAAATAATAATCTGTTTTCTACTAATTATTCCAAAGAAGTGAATTTTTAACATGCAGAGAAAACTCACATTTATATAACATGAAAACAGGGTATTAGAAAAGATATTCCAACACTGACTGTCTGCTAGGAAAGTCTCACAGAAGGCAGATGAAGGAAAGAAAACTCAGCCACACCTGGTGCTTATAAATGAATACTCACCAAGGTTCTGGGAAAGCTGACAAATATTTATTTATTTACACTTTTTTTTCATTTACATCCTGAACAAAATAGATAAATGTTTGATTTTCTTACAGTTTAGATTTATAAACAGGTTTAAATTGCAATGACCTTTAAATATCATCGACTTTTTTTTTGCATAACTTAGTTTAAGCATTATGGCAATAAACTAGTGTTGGTGGACAGACCACAGGAGCAAAATGCTGCTCAGAGTTCCTAGTTAATTTTGCCCATCCTGGGAATTCTGCCTTATTGAAAATTCTCCATGCTTCTCTCAGAGGGAGAAACCCAGTACATATGGAAAGATAAATCCATCTCAATTCACTTCTGCCCCTACCAGCAGATCCTTACCAACTCCTGGACAGAGGGAGTTGCTCTTGATATTTTTGCTTATTATAGATGACTTTGCAATGTGTTAAACAATTTCAAACTGCTATTAGCTCTGGGAATCAGGCACACCTAAGTAAACACATTAGTACCTGCCAGAGCTGCTGGAAGAATTTGTGGAGAAGACAGCTGAGGAAGACATTGGCCTTTGCTTGAATTAGAAGACTTCCAGGAGAGATCAAAGGCCTAAGTAAGGACATTTAGCAGCCTTGAGAGTAGAGAAAGTAGCCAGTCCTTACAGCGCTATCTTTGTTCCAGCACATGGCATAGCCATTCCATCCCAGACTGATTCTGAACTAGGCTTGCAAAAAATTGCTTTTTCCGGAGTGAAAACTCCAGGAAAGAGCATCATCTTTCATGAGTTTAATTAGTTTTAAGGGAGTGACTAGAGGGTACTGAAGGAGAAATATCTTGATGGCTTGGATCTTTTGAGAAAATACCATGTTATTGCTAATTTATCAATGTATTAGATTAGGCAATGTGAGATATTTATATTTAAACTAACACATTAAAAAAAAAGTCCAGGCATGATGCTGTGGGAAAGGGGTTTTGATATGAAATGTTACTAGAAGAAAAATGCAAATGGGTAAATTCTTCTAACTTTAGTCAAAAATGTCTTAATAAGGATTGAGACCTTTTAGCATCTCAAGATTTATCTGACAATTTAAAGAGTAGTTGTGAATACTAAATTTTAGCACTCTCTTCACCCCCAAAACATTTTAGAATTTAGGGGAAAAAGTGAGACCATTAGACATAAATGGATTTATGTCCACAATGTTCAGGCTTGGAATTCAACCATCCAGGTATGATAATTAAAGTTAGTTTAAAAAGCTGACATTTGATGTTCTGCAAATTATTTCTATAATAATATAACAAGGAAAATCACTCATTATTTTATACTTGATAACCTTATACCTGGCTCTGGAAAGAGGCTTGAATTTAATCCCGAATTGCTTATCTTTACCGAGTTATTATGTCTTGATTTTCTGCTTCCACAGCCCTGTTTGTTTTGGCTTTGGCCTTGGTAAAGATTATCATCATCAATATCAAACAAAAACATTTTAATTGCAAACACACCAAGGATTTCACTGGGAAGCCTAACATGTCAGCTACAGCAGTGGAGGTCACATAAAGTCTTTGGGAAATATTTGCTCTATTTAATGAAGAGACTTCTATAGGCAAACTTATTCCAAACAATTTCTCAGGTTACCCAACTAAAAGAGATAGAGAGGATCTGGTTTGCAAAGACTGAATAAAATCCATCAACACGTCCATGAATTGATAAAAGCATTCTGCTGCTGAGCAGTTTATTACACAAATCTTATAAATATATGTGCAATCATAGAGTAAATTAGTACATCTGGTCAATTATTTTATTTCAGTTGTGTGATGAATCTGATTTTTAAGAGTATAGGTGTGTATATATACATTTTAGGGCAAATTTCTATTGATTCTCAGGAAAAAAAATCAGAGCTATATAATAAGCATGATTAATGGGTATCAACATCACCCAGACATATTCATATGTTTCTGGTTGGATAATTTGAAATGCTTTACCACTTATTTCTTAGTTACTGCTCTAATTTGGAGATCACTAGCTAGCCACTCTTAAGAAAGAGCTTTTGGAAAATAAATGTCAAAGAGAGCCAAATTATTCTATGACCATAAAATGTTCCTTATTAATTTCCCAAGGCTTCTCTTTCAGAGTGCACGGGTGGTTAAGAGCACAGGCTTGAATGCATTGATAATTGTCTGGCTCCGAGTCCTGGCTCTTTATGGTACTTACCTAATGCAGGAACCTCTCTGTTTCAAAAGATCTTCTCTAAAAGTAGAAGTAATAACAGTACCTCTCTCACAGGTTGTTGTAGGATTATGTGTTACTATGTAAAATGCTAAACATCTCTCATGGATGCTGATTTTATTTTCATTTGTATCAATATTTTCCCCAGCCAGAGCCAGAAAAGGCTGAAGAAATTATGGCTTTTGGTGGAAGGAAAGGCTCTTGATGGTCAATTTCGATTTACTAAGGAAAAAGAGGATTGACATTTAGTGTTTTATTTTGTCCCCTGTTTTGGCTAGGCACTTTGCATATGTTATCACAGTAAATCTTCACAACCTCAGGAGTTAGGCACTATTATTGCCCCCCCCCATTATTTTATAAATGAGAAACAGCACTAGGCAGGAGGTAGCAGCCTGGATTCAATCTAGGTAGTCAACACCCACACAGGCCCAGCAGTTTTTCTCTCAAACTTTTAAAAGGGTTTGTATGTTAATGTCAGTTTCTTCAGTGAAACTTTTCTACATTTTAAAAGTATTTTAGAATTATCTGTATACTTGGAAAAATATCGAATTATCTGTATAGTCAGAAAACAAGGTAAATCCCCCTGGGAAGAAGTCTGTCTTCTTTTCTGACATGAAAAAGGGGCAAGATACAGCTCCACGCCTGTAGGGGACGCTGTCTGTGGAGATATCTGGAACTTCCGTGATGCGCAATGGGAAGGTCCAGCCTTTGGAGGGTTAGGAGGCAAGGCTGGGGTAGGAAATGCTGAATTTGATTTGACCTTCACATCTGTGAATTCAAGACTAGCTGTGGGGGAAAAAGGGGGAAAGGTAGAAGTTAAGGGGAAGGGAGTCAAGTTGCCATTTGCAGAATGTAAGAGAGAAGTGGCAATTCAAACGCAATGGCTGGCTTCTTTCCTCTGCTTCATTTCCCAGTGCGTTTCTTGGTGGTCATTTCTTCTTCGTGGTCGTTTCTTCCTGAGGTTACAGGAAAAACAAACCTGGCGCACGTTGTAAAATCCTCATGGTGAAGAGCTCCTGGGGCCTCTAGCCTCTCTGGGGCTTTGCTGTTTGGCCCAGCTAAGAGGTTTCATGTGTGTTGTTGTTGTCTTTTGCTCTCAACCATTTAACCCTTCCCTCTCTTAAAGCAACCCTCCCTTCAAAGAATACTGCCCCCACCCCATCTCAAGAGACAGATTGCCCCCTTCTTTTTATCTTTCTATTTGGAAAACAAACCCAAGCCAAAGGAGGTCTTGAGGACCAGCCTAGTTCAAGAAAACTGGGGAGGGGACCAGAGATCTGGCTCCAATGCCAAAGCAGTCCCTGAGTACTCCAGATCAATGCTTCTTCAGGAAGGAAGTGGCCTGCCAAGTCAAAGAGGGAAGGCAATTGGACTAAATTAGCCAAAGATCTTCTAGGGAAATAAAGTTTTTGTGTGGTAATTTCTTTTTTCTTTTCTTTCTTTCTTTCTTTCTTTCTTTCTTTCTTTCTTTCTTTCTTTCTTTCTTTCTTTCTTTCTTTCTTTTCTTTTTTTTTGAGACAGCGTCTTGCTCTGTCACCCATGCTTAGGTGCAGTGGCCTGATCCTAGCTCACAACAACCTCAAACTCCTGGGCTCAAGTGATCCTCCTGGAGTAGCTGAGACTATAGGCAGAAGCCATCATGCCTGGCTTTTTTTTTTTGTATGGTCTCCACTATGTTGTTCAGGCTGGGATTGGTAATTTTTTGCCACAAGATTTTACTGATTGAAATTCGATTGTAAACTTTATGTAAGTAAACCTCACCCAGATCTCCAGGTATAGGACAATAAAAGGGGGCTGGGGGGAGATGCTGATAAAAAGAAAAAGGACAGACTCCTTCTGGATACTCTTTACTACCAATCACAAATGTGAGGTTTTCATGAGATAGAAATGTCCGGTTTAATTCAAAGGAAAACAACTGATTTTCCTCCTTTTAAAGTGAGCCTTAAAGGAAAACCTAAATAAATAGGCCTCCGTAGTGTCTATGTTAAAATATCATTCCTCTTTACTTTTGTACACATGCCCTCAAAGCATTTTTCCAGTTCAAATTAGGACCAACTCTGTTCATATAGAAACTTATTTTTAATATTACAATACCAGGATGTTTGCACATTTTATATACAATATGTCATTCCACATTTAAAATATATTTCTTAGGTTTACATAAAAAAATGAAAGTACTAAGACTATTTACAAAAATACATTAAATATTACTAACATTAAATGCAACGTTCCCACTTTGCTTTCAGACAGGAATGAACTTGTTTTGAATATGGCACAAAAGGATCATCATCATAAAAGTTAATATATTACAAAACCAAACAAACAAAAACAAAATAAGGGAGCTAGACCCAAGCCACTCACGGTTCCAAAAAAATAAAAGCCAAAAGCCAAAAAGGCTTTTTTTCATTTGAGCGTGCACAAGTTTTCAAAAAGTTTCTTTGTGAGTATGTCTCCTTCCCTTTCTTAAACTCCTGGGCCTGGGTTCCTAAATATTAATGTAATATGACCTAATCTAAAGGATTAGGCCAAGGAGGGTGGGTGGGATCTTCCTGCTGCGTGGAGAATGCCTCAAGCCGCCGCCGGAGTTACTTTTCCACCACCTCCTCCCCGCAGGGGACTTTGCGTTCCTCCGAGGAAATACTGTCCACGATAGAAGAAAGGCATCGAAGGCTACTCGAGGCAGACGAATCAATGCTTGCTCCTCCTGAACACACACACAAACACAAACACACACATAGCACCCAAGAAAGAAGAACCGAGACAGCTCCGCGCCCCGCGCGAGGCCGTCTAGACAGCGCGGAAGGACCGGGTCCCAGCCCGCAAAGGGCTCCAGGCTGCCAGGCCGCCTCCCTGCTCTCTTCGAGCTTTTTTTTTTTTTCTTTTTGGCCTGGAACGAGCACCCTAGCTCCCTCCCGGATTTTCTCTGGTGTAGCTCAGTGCCCTTTCTTTTACTTTACCTTCCTTAGCAGTTATCACGAGCCCCCTGGAATGATCCGAAACACTTGGCCACTGGGAGCTGCAGGTGCGCAGGAAATCCGCGCCCTCAAGCTGGAGGGAAAACCAAGGCCACAGATTAGGAAAGAGACATCGGTTCCGGGAGTGCTGGGGGGCGGTGGGGGGCTTTTCTGTTTCCTCGGCCGGGTGCGCATTTCCTGCCTGTTGCAGGCACCCGGTCTTCTTGGGTCACTGGGGGTTCATTAGCGAGGGAGCGGGAGGGGCAGGCGACAAAGGGGGAAGGGAAAATAGAACGAGCAGCTGGAGGTTAAGGCCCCTAAGGAAGGCATTTAATCAGCCTTTGCATTTCCCTGCCCCGGCAGCAACTAGGCTTACATTTTCTTGCTTGGGTCTGTAGCTGAAGGGGTCCACCCCCAGCTCCTGCATTTTCTCCTGCTGATCCAGGCGGTGCAGCAGGTCCTGCAGCCGTTCAATGTAGTTGATGGCGCTCCGCAGAATCTCCACCTTGGGCAGCCTCTGGTTGGGGTTGGCCACAGTCCGCCGTTTCAGGGCCTCGAAGGCCTCGTTGATTTTCTTTAGCCGCCTCCTCTCGCGCAGGGTGGCGGCTTTTCGCCGGTCAGTGGGGGCAGATTTTCTCTTACAAGTCTTGCAAGCCCAGATCAGACATTGGCCGGGGCAGTGGGGAGGCTGCAGGCCTGGGGGCGCCAGGACGTGTTCCTCTCCGCTGCTGTCGCTGCCGGCTTCCGGGGGCATTTGGTCCTGGCAGGGGGACAGGGTACCATCACTCCCTGGATACAAAGGAGAGCCCTCTGCCACTTCTAACGGCTGCAGAGTAACATTTTCCCCATCCAAGTAGAAGAAATAGGAGCCAGTTTCAAAAAGGTCCATCATCATGTTCTCCTCCTTGGCCTCTGACTCTATCTGAACTGGGTGATGGACTCAAAAACCCAGAGGAGCCACCCAGATGGCATTTAATTAGTGCGGTGACATAAGTCGACCCAGCTTTATATATAGTAGCTCCTGAAACTCAATCCAACTTTTAGCTGTCATGGAGCATCAGTCTCCCAATGTGATTACAGCTAGTGCTCTCTATAACATCTAGTTTGAAAGAAAACTGAGAAGTGTCACCTCCCAGAGTGATGTGACTATATGCAGGACATGTTTAAACAAAACACAAAGAGAGAATCACATTATTTAAACAAAGCATTGAACACTTCCATTTTGGACAGTTTGGATGCTAACCTGCTTACTGGACAACTTCAAAACAACTGGGGATTAATGTTGTTCCATTCCCCTCCCCTTGCACGCATCTGAATTCTAAGTATAGACCCATGATGAAAGATTTCAAAGGCAATAGCCATTGCTCCAAAATAGCCTGGTTAATATTTGCAGAGTGGTTCAGCTCCTTTCTCTCTCCTGTCTCTCAAAAAGATGCTATTCCTGTGATTAAAACCATTACAGCCCTTCAAAAGTTATACCTGGCTTTCAGGCTTCAGCCTCAATAGAAGCAGGTAAATCTCTTTCCTCTCTTTTACTAAGGCTGTGAGATGATTTGGGAGCTGGAGGGGGTGGCTCAGGGGTGCTCACATTCCATGGTACTGTATGAAATGACTCTTCTGGATCCTTCCATAGAGACTTTCCTTGGCTATCTCTTTTTTGGGGAGGGGGGAACCAGGATCTGAATTCTGTACTCTTCCATTGTGGAGCAGTGGTACTAGGGGTGGGACGGAGAATAGGGTTGCAATACATGTGATAAATAACTCCTCCTCAGAAATAGTTTTAGTGCAAACAAAACCCACACCACAGTGACTTGATATTTGAGGATTCACTTGTGGTCCCCTCTGAGGTGCCTCTGATAACTCCTGTTCTGCATACCACTCCTGTTCTGCTCACCACTTTTTTCATTTGCATTCTCACTAACCATTGGCTCCAAATAAGGTTTCTTATAGGATTTAGATGAGAAAGGTAGCCACCAAGGCACAAGCAAGGACATAGAATTTTTTATTGCAGCTTTCCTGTCGTCCAGTGCACACATGTATGGTTCTTTGGGAGACAGCAAAATACAAAGGTGAAGTGCAGGAGCCCTAGATTCCAAAGTACTCTCTTCCAGTCTAGCTAGATTAATTTCTATTTATATGTTCATAGATAAGTACTAGGTCTCAATTTTTTCAAGACAATAGTTATTGTCTTAGATAGTTTTGGTGAAGATTCAAATGATACCATGCATGGGAAGCATATAGCTGCATGATGAACATTAGTAATCATTTATAGAATAAAGCTGTGTTAGGGCTAAGACCAGTTCTTATTAAGGAAATAAAACATGGCTTTGGAAAGGGTTTTTTTGTTAATCCTTCTTTTTTGATGCTTTCCTTTCCTTTCTTTTTCTTTGCGTTGCTTTCTCCTCTTCTTTTCTTTTCCTCCTGGAGCTTTGGAAGGACTCCCTAGCTATAAATGGTCTTGGAATGACAGTCAACTTTGGTTTTGGCCTTTATAGTAAGTGCCTGAAAAACTAGATGGAAACATAAGGTCTTATTACTCTACCCCAAGCCGTGATGATTATAGACTATATTCTTTATGACTTTCATATTTTTTAATGAAGAGACTGAAGATAATGCAGGAAGGGTATCAACTGTCAGATAATTTAGAAACTAGCTAAAATTTTGATCCAAGTGGCTTATTCCAGAAGATAATTCTTTAGTCTCTATTGAGCTACAGACTTGGGATGTTAAGTTTTGACATTTTTGGCTGTTTTTGTTTATGTGTAGCTGCATAATCCCTTATCAAGTCTGAGAATCGTTCTTAGCTTTTGAGAATGGCAGGGAGCACAGGGAAGGAGTTGTAAGAAACCAATACCTCTTTTGTGATTTTTCTTCTATTTCCACCAGTTTCTTGGTTGCTAAATCAGCAATTAAGACTGCAGATTGAAGGCTTCAGCAACTCAGGGTCTAATCTGATATCCATTATGGAAAATTAGCTTGTGCTCTGAACCACATTTTATGCTGTCTCTTACAAATATGGAGACAATTTAAAAAGTTATTTTTTAAACAGTAGAATTATACATAGCATTCTTGTTCTAGTCATTAAGATAACAATGACTGAAATTTACTTATTCATCTTTTGTTGGATACCTACTAAGTTCCAGATAGTGTCCTGGGTGGTAAAAATAAAGCAGCAACAACAACAACAAAAAAAAAAGATCCCTGCTTGTCACCCCTTCTTATGGAGTTTGAATCCAAAAGGGGTAAGTTAAATTAACAAAGAGACCAAAAAAATGGGAGAAGTAGCCTTGGAATTAGGATGTTTAAAGCCTGGAATTCAGTGGTTTGGGGCCTGTGAGGATTTAGTTAACCCTACTCTCTCAAATCTTTGTGTTTCATCTATAGTATTTGTATGATGACAAAAGACATTCATACTCTCAAAGGTTATTATGAAGATGAAATATTTATCAATGTGAAATCACTTTGAAAACATAGTATACTCTATAAAAGGACTTTTATTACTGGAATTATTTAGTACAGAGTAAAATGAGGTAAGAAAAATATCACTACCAAGGAATGTTGAATGTTGGGTCATTGAAGTAACATTTAAGGCAAGATCATTCCTGGACTCGCCACTGATTTTAGAAGTATCACATGTTAGAGAGTCTGCATATTATGAACCTGCCAAAGAGTATGAAAGTTCGCCTTTTCTCCTGTTTCCTTCATTCAAGTGTCACCCCTAGAGAAATAGCCAGTTTAGAAATATAGAAAGAAAAGATTTCATTTAAAAAAGTAGAAAATCTTTTGGATGCTGATCAAGAGCAACTTCCTACATGGAAGTGGCTTTTTTTTTTTGGTGTAAAGTTAGCTGGCACCTATTGGATTGTTCCTTATTAGATTGTAAAACCCTTTCCCAGCATGCTCTAGAACTCAGGCCAATAAAACCAGTTTTAGTGTTCACCTTGGTTCAAACATATCCCTCCCCCCCACTTTTTGTTGTTGTTTGGGGGGTTGAGGGCAGGAGGTGGGAGAAGAGAACAAAGAAGTGCCAGCTTGGGAATAACTGTCCTTTATTAGATTAGATCAATGGGAAAATACACACTGATTCCAAACTACTAACTAGTGACCTCTTGGAACTCAAACTGTTTACAAAATATGAGATGCCTGTAATTGCAATTACATTATTTCTCGGTAGAACTTGGGAGAGACACAGCCCCTAACAAGTGGTCCAAACAGACTTACGTAAACTGAAATCCTCCAAGCTTTAAATAGTTCAGAGACATTTTTTAAAATTATGGAAAAGTAATTAATAATTTGGGAATAATTATATTATAATGAATAAATCACTCCAAGGGCCTTGAGTTCATTCATACTAAAACCTGAAACTAGATTAGTGATAAAATGGAAAGCTTCCAAGTCATTTACCATCCTGTTATTCTTACTCCATGTTTAACAATTTGTAAATGATTTTTTCCCATATCTCCAAAAAAGCTTATTTGTGTGTCTGATTTTTCTCCGTGAAAAGGAGTGGGAGAGAAAGGATTATGGCTAGCTCAACCAACAGTGGATTTTAGCTATGAGCCTTTTGAGAAGGCATTGTGTGTGGTGGAAAGAGATCAAAGCTTTGGAGCAAAACAGAATCTAAGTTTTAACCATTCTTAATTATGTGTTCCAAGCCCCCGTTTTATAAGAGATCAGATGACATATGTAATACACATAAATACACATATCACAGGCTTATTGTTAGCATAAAATGAAATTATGTATGTTAAGCTCATGATATGGAATATACACTCAACAAATATTAACTCTCCTCCTTCTCCTACTCAGTTCTTAAGGTCTCTGATGGAAATAGCCATAGTGAATTCATTGGAAAACCTAGATGTGGTGAGAAAGCTGTTTAAGAGAAATTTGGGGATTTATTTGTGTTAATGGTATAATCAAAGTGAAAATGTTGAAACTAGTGACTCTGATAATAGTATTTCATGTATTTTATACCCTCATTAAACTTCCAGTTTACTGTGGGCAAGGACACTAACTAAAAGTCACAAAAATGCATAACTAAGTTTGGAACTTGGAAGGAAAGGAGTATAGTTCTATTAGAGTGTGTTACAATGAACAGTTTCTCCTGAACGTGAAGCTTGACAATAGATGGTTTGAAGTTCCTGAGATGTTCTGTTGGTATTTCCAGGGGCCAAGTTCAAGTCTTCTAGAAAACTTATGTACCAGGATGATAGTAACAGTCAGAGGAAGCTCAAAAATGAATAAACACAGAGACACAGAGTGTCAGAAACTGGGGAAGAGAATTTTGTGGATTATATTAATATCTAGGGGATTTGGCTACACTGTTACATAGTTGGGTTCAAAGGAAGTAGTTTCAGTCATAACTGAGAAAGTGGAACTGAGGGCCTGTGGAAGATGATTCTATTTTTTTCAGCTATGAAAAGTGAGAGAAGAAAGTAAAGGGGCGAGAAGAAAGGAGAGAGAAAAGGGAGAGGAGAGAAAGAGAATGAACAGAACTCAGTCTACCCCTCTGGGAGAAGGGCCACCCAACAATGGCAGAGAGTGTCCCTAAAGAATAGAAGGTGAAGGAAGGGCCCCCTAACTGAAAGGCAAAATTCAGAAGGGACAGATTAGTACTTTAAATCTGTGGGAGCTAAATGAGTAACATGAACTCGTGCACCTGTAATTTACCTAATCTGCAGACAGTTTGTGCCAAGAGATCTCTGAACACTGTGGTAAAAATAGTTTTGCACTTAGAACATTTGAGTCCCTCCAGAGGACATGGGGGAGGGGCACAGAGCAGGCAGAGGAAAAGGAACAATATTAAGGACGAATCCCCTGCAATCTCCAGATGGTGGCAGTGAGAAGTTATGCGTAGAAACGGGGCTGGACCTAGATTAGGGCAGGCTTTGGTTGGGAGGCTTGCTGAGGAGCAGCCTTTTAAAAACATCACCAAAGAAATAAATCAAGGACAAGCTACGGAGGAACTAGAGAGGCTATATCTTTCAAGAGATATATTTTTTGCTCTTTGCTCTCACCCCTGACTCCCATTCAATCTGAGTGTAGGAATATGGGTTCCAAAAAAATCTGTGTTCAGTTCCTGTACTAGCTGCTGCTCATTTCTTATGTCATAGGCATAATTTCCAGGGAAGGCGACAATGAATGCTCTTCTACCCTACAAACGCTCATTCTTTGGTGCAAAAAGTGAAGTCCTCTTCATAATTCTACACCTCCCTTTCCCTTTTCATCCAGATTTCTGAATTTGAGAGTACAACTTTGTGAACATTAGAATTTTTCCAGGTTAAGTATTCTTTCCAGCTCTTAAATGACCAGTTGGTACAGGTTTGCTTAGGACTGAGTGGGGACCCAAGAGGCCTGACTTTCAGTGCTAAAACTGGGGAAATTTCTGGCAAATCAGAATGAGTTGGTCACCCTGTTTCCCAGGAAAACACCAAAAGGAGCTTACACATGTCTATTCATAAATAAGAACAATGTACAGAGTGGAGGATATATAGACTTTTTTTTCTTTA